ACCAGCCTAAGGTACGCGTGGCAAGAACACGCCCAATCCTATGCTGGCTCCGTTTAAACTCTGATGGCGCGACCCGACTTTTCACTTTACAATCAAACATGACCTCGAGAGGGACAAAAATGTAAACCCTTGCAAAAATTGCAATCTGCATTAGATAGATATTGTTGTATTGATTAAAAAAAATGTATGCATTTCTAACAAGAAATATGCAAGTCTTGAAACTGTAATGGTTTCCTAAACTATAGCAGGCTATTATTTATTTTTTTTTCAGGGATTTTAATAAATCTAATTTTTGTACACCAAATTTTCAAAATTCTAATCATTTATGCTATGTGAGGAACCTGCAGACAAATTTGGGTTGAATCTGTTAACCCGTTTATTTGTACAAGCAAAAAACATACAGACACCAAGACAAGAAAAGTATATGATACATAAAAAAAGAAGCTATAAAATATAGAATTTCAAGGAGGAAATGAGATTTGTAAATATAATGACACGGATATTAACAAGATCGATCCAGACTTATTAAGAAAAATTCTGAAGTTGTAATTTATAAATGAGAATCTATCCTCTATATAGCCAGGGCTGGTTGAAAAGAAGGTACCGGTTTTTTTCGTTCTTGAATCAAGTTATCGTTTGTTCACGGTTCAGATTTTTTAACAGACTTTAACGGCAGACATTTCTAACAATTATTAACAGACTTCACCGTTAATATTCAAAGAATAAAAATTAAATTTCACAAAATTCTAACTTACAATTTTTTCATTTCAGGTGTAAAAATTAAAAAATTAAAAATTAAATTAAAATGATAAGGAAAAATTCTCTAACATATTCTAAGTTATATAAAACCGTCTTCCTCTTTATGTTTGCTTGTCTGTTTGTATCCAATAAACGTCAAAACGACTAAACCAATCTGGCCCAAATTTTGTGTGGGATCGACCTCACATGACCCCAGGAAAGGTTTATAGATTTTAGCCTCCAAAAAAATTCGATTTTCATAAAAATTTTAAAATCCACAAATATTTTTATTACAAAATCCGTGAACTTTTTTGTTTGTTTTTGTTTTACAACGTATACAAAGATAACATGTTCACAATTAAAAAAGAATATGGGCGCAAAGCGTCCTAAAAGCCTAGTAAATATATTTATTAAGAATATGAAGGTGTGGGTATTTATATATAATGATGTTGCATGAAAATGTTTATCAAAAACACTTAATCCCTAATAGCACTGCACTACCGACTTCAAACACCAAGATATAAACAAAAAGACTTAAAAGCATAGCAAAAAAATAAATCAAATAAAAAATAAAAGAATAAGAAAATATCAATTTTACATTAGAAAATATGCGTACTACAGAAGTTAAAATATACATGCATACTACAGAATAATTTTTGTAGAAAATTCCTTTTTTAAAACTTTTTATTGTCACCTTATAATCAGTTTAGATTGTTGACAGTGAGAACCTGAAAACTCTGGAAAAGGAAGACGACTTTTAGACCCAAGTTACGTCTTTTCCTAGTCCAATGGAAATGGGACACAGCAATTATTGTGCAATGTAGACAGATCCAGTTTACTGAATAACTGATTTATTCAGTTACTTGTAAAAATATTTGCTTTGACAAACATCAAATAAGCTTAAAAGTATTTTTATAATGTCGTCTTTTTATTCCTGCAGTGTTAGAAATTAAAACTCAAATATAACTGCAGGCTTATACTATTTGAATAACTTTAATCATTGGACATGAAAGAGAATAATTTTATGTTCAATTACTATACAAATGTTGGAATACGTCTCCACGTGGTTATTTTTTATATACAATTATTTCATTTTATAACATAATTAGCGTTGCCCGTGGAATTTTTTTAAATTCAAAATAATCGATTTTAGAAAGAAAAAAATTGAAATTTTATACTTTGTTACCCCTGGGGTTCTTAAGGGTTTCCTCAACAAATTTCAGCCCATTCGGTTTATCCGTTTGGCCGACTATAGCTGACATATAGATATATATATATGTACATACATTATTTCACTCTCTGCTAAACCTAACTTTTCTTCCGGTCAGCTGTACTGTACTGTACTGTACTGTACTGTACTGTACTGTACTGCAAATTACTGCAGTAAAGCACCGAATGCTTAGTTAGGGTTGACATACATTCATCCTAATATATATAAGTATATGAGTGAAGAGCTTTAGAGCTTTATTATTTAGGTTACTAGCTGAAGGGCCAGGCGTTTCCCGTGGAAAAAAAATTTGAATTATTTTTTTTCAATCGATTTATTTTTAGCATTTAACACCCCCCGGCCACCGATGAGTGACTACAAAAAAATTTAGCCCAATCGGTCCAGCCGTTTGGCCAGCTATTCGCAACATATATATGAATGTTTTGTTTTATTATAAAGAAGATTATTCTTCTAATATTTTGCAGACATTTTAAAAATACAAACGAAAAGTCGTTAAATCGGTAAAACTCTGATTGAGTTTTGTGAAAGCTTGCAACCTTTGGATTAAATTGTGCCATATTTTGTTTTGGACAATTTCGAGGCTTCGTCTAAAGTGTCGTGTGTCATGCATTAATAGTTAACAAAAGAAAATGAAAGGAGATGAGCTTTTGTGACAAACTGTAATTTTTATTCCTTATAATTTTGAAACCCGATCTCGTAGACATTTGATATTTTAAAAAAATATGAATTCTGTCCGATAATATAGTCTACGTTTGAAATATCAAAGGTTTACACTATCAGGTTGCAAAGATAAAAGAAAATCTGGGACTAAGATTGAATTCCTTAGTGTTGGAAAGATACTCTATATTTGAACGATAAACAACATGATTACAATATATACACATTTCTTGGTTTTAGAAATGAACTGAGTTTTTGCCACAAACTCTGATTTGCTAATTATCTTTGTGATTTCAAACTATATACATCAAGGACAAATAAAATATTTAAGTTTGAAATATCAAAAGTTTACACCATCAGGTTGCAAAGATATGAAGAATGGAAAACCAGGGTTTGTGGCAAACACTTTCGATTAATTGTTGTTTTGTTTATTCCAAGTAAATATGTCTGGGTAATTAAATTTTACAAGATATATTCTAAACTATTGAATTTATTTGGATTAATAAAAATATGTGAAAAATCATTAGTCTTTACATTCTGCTTGCATTCTGAAAGGGACTGTAAGCGACATTTTAACTAAAGCCTTCATGTAAAAATAGCAATGCACGCACCTCTGCCTCTTTAGTAAATTCAATCTATATGAAGCATAAAGTCTGACCGCGTCAACCTTGTTGCACCGGCTAGTCCTGTCCATAGAGCTACGTACAGTACAAACTGGGAACGGAAAGGTTGACCCGGCTCGGAAATTAAAATGTACTACGGCTGCCCAAGAATGCCAGATTTACAATTGTACTCTTGAAATCTTTGTCTGGTTAAAATTCAATGTTTATAATTTTGAAAAATGATATTTTTCATCTCCATGCAAAAGTGATTATCCACTTTATAGAAAAACCAAGGAGTTAAATAAACAGAATCTAACACAAAAAATACGTTATTGATCACATAACACCTCCGACCCTTCAGTAAAAGTAAATTCAGCCTTGTTGCACCGGCTAGTCCTATTGAGTGTCTGCTTTATTTACCCAATGTCCGGGCGATATAGTACAAACTGGGACCGGAAAGGTTGACCCGGCTTGAAAATTCAAATGTACTACGACTGCCCGTGATATAGGTAACGTTGTTTGACAGGATGGATATTGGATGGTTACTTGAAATTAGGCCTACAGTCCCTTCATAACCGTTACTTTTTGGTTTAATTTTTGTATAATTTGTTCTAAGTTTTGCATGATTTGTTCTAATTTTTGCATGATTTGTTAAGAAATCACAATATTTAGTGGTGAATGTATTTTCCTGCCTGATTTATTGGCTGGTTCTCCCAGGTTATTTACACAAAAACATTATACGGCCCTAGAAATAAATCTAACAAGCCTTTCGCAAACAAACAACAAGAAGAAGAAAATCATAAATATTCTGAAAAAGATAAATAAGATAAATAAGATAAATGTTCTGAATAAGATAAATAAGATAAATAAGATAAACAAGATAAATAAGATAAATAAGATAAATGTTCTGAATAAGATAAATAATTGTCTTTTTTAACCGGAAAAGTATTTTGATAGAAATAATATCTAAAGCATTTTGAAATTACGAAGAGTATTAGAACATTTTTATGTATTTAAAAAAAAATATTTGCTCTGTAAAAAATATTTTTTAACAGTGGATCATTGGGACATAATCTATATATAAAATTGGCTCGTTTGTCTGTCTCTTTTTATAACCAATAAACCTAAAAGCTTGATCATATATGAATGTTCCCAGGAAATAATATTTTTTATTCAAATATATGTTCCCTTTGACTGGCCAAACGGCTGGACCGAATAGGCTGATTTTTTTGAGAAATCCTATGAGTTCCTCTTGGGTAACATTTTTTTTCTTCAAAAAAAAACATATTTGCTCTGTAAAAAATATTTTTTAACAGTGGATCACTGGGACATAATCTATATATAAATTTGGCTCGTTTGTCTGTCTCTTTTTATAAAAAACGTAAAAGCTTGATTATATATGAATGAATAAGAAATTTCAGACTATGAATTCTGAAATGTTCCTAGGAAATAATATTTTTATTCAAATATATGTTCCCTTTGACCGGCCAAACGGCTGGACCGAATAGGCTGATTTTTTTGAGAAATCCTATGAGTTCCTCTAGGGTAACATTTTTTTCTTCAAAAATCATTTTTTTAAAAATTCGATTTAAAAAAATTCTATGGATGGGCCACGCCGGGCCCTTAACAGCTAGTATTTATTATTTTTTTAAATGACACAATTTATAACAGAAAAAATCCGCACAACACTATTTGCAAAGCTTGAACCCTAAGACTCAATTTTATTCCTGACTGTAGTTTGATATGAAATGGGTGGGTTGCATGGTAATACTGGATTTTAATTACAGATAAAATGGAACAAGAACATTGTGCTGAAACTAGTCCTTTCTCGAGTTCGCAAAAACAAAAACTAAAATATTCTATTAAAATTGTATAAAATAGAATCTGAGAAAAAGAAGTTTTTTTCCAAAGTGACAGTTTTTAGCTCGATAGCTTAATAAACAGTGATGATGTAAATCTGAACCAATACAATTGTGACTTGTGGCAGTTTGTCAATGAGAACCAATGAGAAATGAGAAGGTGGGATTGAACCAATAGGAGTGAAGGCATGTGTAGCAAATCAGCTGGCTCTCCAACTTCAAGCGGGATGCAGGTAAAGTACCACTGAGGGCAACATTTTTTTGAACGAACGAAATTTATTAGAACCACGACATTTAACGTGAACGATGGTGTTGTTCAGGAAAAAAAGAACCATGGAGGAATGATTTAGATAGTTCAGAGAAATGAAAAAACGATAGTTTTTTTAAACGAGCGATTTAAAATCGTTTGAACGAACTTTAAAAATATTATAGTTTTTTTTTACTGAACGAAAGATTTTTCCTAAAGGTTTTAAAAACTGATTGCTTTTTTACTGAACGATAATTTTTCAAACAATCTTTTGTAAAAAACGATTGTTTTTTTACTCAACAATCGTTCGATGAGAAAATGAACAAAACTGATGGAAAATGAACAATATTTTTGAGAACAAACAAAATAATTTTTTTAAACGATTGAAAAAAAACCCGAAAAAAATGGGTCTTTGATGAACGATGAACAAACGAAATGAATAAAATACTTAATGCGCCCATCTCTACTGAGAGTAAACTAATTATAAGCACATGCATTTTTATCATTTAAGCAGAATGTTTCTGGTTCAAAAAATTTTCAATTTGTACATAGAAAAGGGATGAATGAGACTGAAGAAAAGTAGCAAAACTTTTGAATTCTTATACAGGGGTTGTTTATATTGAATTGTTACGTTTTAGAACAGTTATGAAATAGGTATTAAGTTGAAAATAAGAGTTGTGAATTGTTAGAGCAAAGGAATTGAGTTTTTGTCAGAAACTCATCTCAAAGGTTTACACCATCAGTTTTCATTATAAATTTGAGTTTGTGGCAAAAATTTAATTTGATTCTGGTAATATAAGTTGCTGATCTGTTCTAATATTCCACAGTAAAATGTGAACACGAAACAAAGGCATGCCANTCGGACTTTTTGTTCAATTCGTTTGATAGCGAACGATTAAAAAACGCAAACGGTCTGACTGAAATTAAGCGCAAACGATCATCAATTTTAAATAGTTTGTTATTTTCGTTTGTTTTGAAGAAAATATCGTTTTTATTTCTTTTAACGATCCAATTCGTTTGTTAATCGTTCAGTACCGTAATTTCAAAATGTTTTTGCAGTTACACAATATTTACAAACAAAAAAATATTATAGAATACAAGGCTTTTAGGTCGCTTCGCGCCACATTCCCTATCAACAATTTTAGCCTTGAACATTTAAATCATTCTTAAATTTTTGCGGATTTCTCTGTTTAAATTGGTGAATTTTTCAAAAATGATAAAGGAATTGAGTTTTTGCCACAAACTCAAATTTTCTAATCTCTTATTCTTTGCAACCAGTTGGTGTAAACGGATGATATTGAAATTCATAGTTTGAAATATCAAAGGTCTACGACATCTGGTTGCTATAGGATATATAGGGGGGAAACAGTTAGAGTTTGTGGCAAAAATTCTTTTTCTTTCGACATTTTTTACGGTTTTTTTTCTACTTAGACCTGCCATAAACCTTCCATAAGTTGTCTCAAAAATGTTTAGCTCTATCGGTTCAGCCGTTTTTACGTTAATTGGATGAAAGCAAACAAAAAGAGAGACAGACAAGCAAAGTAATGTATGTATGGAAAAATGACAATGTGTATTCAAGAAAATTATTTTTAAGGCCTTTTCAAAGTTAGCAATTTTTTCACTTCTTTATCGCACGTCATAAATTGAAATCTTACATGTTTTTAATCATAACTTTTATTGATGAGATATTAAACAGAAAAAAATGTTTAACATTTTTAACAAAAATTTGCTTCTCTTCTACTTGAGTTTAAAATCAAAGCCTGGAGCTGCGAGGTAACAAAGTCGTTTTATGTTAATGTTAGATAACCCTGACCTGGAGTTTGATCTTTTTATAGCTTTTTATATCAATTCGGTTTTAAATAAAAAGCTATTTATAGAAAATTTTATTTTGAAATATCGTTGCTATTTCTTTTGCCCAATTTTGAGTTGTGAATTATTGTCTATTCCCCTTGATTAGGCATTCATCAATTTTACATAATAGTTGAGTTGTTAACAATATTTCCCCCGCTTTTTAGCAAACTTTCTTTAATCTATCTATCTATCTATCTATCTATCTATCTATCTATTTATCTATCTATATATATATCTAAATATATATATATATATATATCAGGAGGAACTGCTTACAAGTACATTTGGAAGTCATGAATCTGTGTGTAAGGCTGACCCTCCAGCCCCTGACCTGGGTCAGGTAGCTGGACCGGTCAGGATGAAACTAACCCGGGGACAACAATTCAAAAATAATCTTTACAAGGTGAGTTCAACGTTCAGAGATTTTTGTTGCGATTATCTTTAAATTAAAGGGAGTGTACGCGTAATTTCAAGTGATCCTCCTCCACGCAAAGATGGCAATGTGAATGAAAACGGTTCCCTTGAAACCATTCTTTGATCAATAATATTGAAGAGCTAGTAGTTTTTCTAGATTTTAAAGTGCTTAATTCCGATAACTCAAATATTTTTTTCTGCAATAGAAACCACACTTTTAAATAATCAGTTTTAAAAATTATAAACATTGATGTCTAATCCATACTTTTTAAAGGATATTGTTGTTAATCGGGCGTGTTGCCATCTTTATATGGAGGATCATTAATATTGAGCTGACAGTCCCTTTAAAAAATCTGGTGCGCGTTAGGCAGCATTTCGAAAGGTTTACTAAAGAGCACTGTTGTTATTGGACATTTAATGACAGGTCACGTGATATTGCTTCAACGGGTCACGTGATATTGCTTCAAGGGGTCACGTGATATTGCTTCAAAGGGTCACGTGTTATTGCTTCAAAGGGTCACGTGATATTGCTTCAACGGGTCACGTAATATTACTTAAAGGGTCATGTGATATTGTTTTAACGGGTCACGTGATATTTTTCAAGTGATCATGTGATATTGCTTCAACGTGTCACATGATATGGTTCAAGGGGTCAAGTGATATTGCTTCAAGGGGTCAAGTGATATTGCTTTTTTAAACCCTATATCCTTGCATTATGATGGTGTAAACCTTTGATGTTTGAAAATAGCTAGACTTTTTATAGTTCTAGTAGAATTCAAGAAGTATGGAGTATAAAATTGTGTTCAGTTTCTTTATATATATAATTAAACACAACTCAAAAAATGTTAAGAACCAGTTAATACAATTGTTGGTTCCAAGTTGTGATCGTGCTTAGTGCTGTTATTCAATTTGGTTCGCATATATTTATCTCAAGGTCAAAATTTGGTTCGCATATATTTATCTCAAAGTCAAAATTTAGTTCACATATATTTATCTTAGGGTCAAAATTTGGTTCGCATATATTTATCTCAAGGTCAAAATTTGGTTCGCATATATTTATCTTAAGGTGAAAATTTGGTTCGCGTATATTTATCTTAAGGTGAAAATTTGGTTCGCATATATTTATCTCAGGGTCACAATTAATTTGGTTCGCATGTATTTATCTCAGGGTCAAAATTTGGCAACGCGTAAGAAAATCAAAATTATAGATATTTGCTGTCCTTACATTATTATTACCTTGACAAAAAATATATACAAAAAACGAAACAAAAATAACTAAAAGGAAAGGGATAAAACAACTGTTTTTGTTCGTATTCAAATTATTTTAGGGTAAAATATTGCATAGTTTTATATAATAACAAACTTTAACAGAATACAGTTTTGAAGTTGAATTAAAAACTAACCAAAACGATAAACAGCATCAGCTGTTCACTCCTGTATGCCGGGTCCATTAGTGCCTTATCCAATCAGGGTTCAGCCATGTGTTTGTTGTCTATTCTGAACCAATAGAAATTGCATGGCGGTTACATCTATCTTTCTATCTATCTCATCATCCAATTAGAGATAAATCCTTAAATCGGAGCTTTACACTAAATGGAAATATTTACTTCTATTAAAACTATAGTGATGTGTTAGTGTAATTTTTTTCAGAACACATTCCAAGGGATATTGTATTCAGGTTAATATTGAACTTGGAGAATTATTACAGTGACTGTTGAAGTTTGTGGGTTTTTATTGACGAGAAATTAGTTAAAGTAAATATTTAGATGATCACCATCAAGTTTTAGAGTTTTTTAGTGTTTTCAGATTATTACTGAATTTGGAGAGTTATTACAGTGATTGTTGAAGGTTATTGAGAAGGTTGGAGAAATTTTTAAGTGTATTTTTAGATGACTGCACGCTGGTCTAGAGTTTTACGGTGAATTTCTGGGTGATTGGATATTCTAGTGATTGCTGAAGTTTTTACAGTGTATGTTTAGGTAATTGCTGAGGTTTTACAGTGTATGTTTAGGTGATTGCTGAAGTTTTTACAGTGTATGTTTAGGTGATTGCTGAGGTTTTTACAGTGTATGTTTAGGTGATTGCCGAATTTTTTACAATGTATGTTTAGGTGATTGATGAGGCTTTTACAGTGTATGTTTAAGTGATTGATGAGGTTTTTATAGTGTATGTTTAGGTGATTGCTGAGGTTTTTACAGTGTATGTTTAGGTAATTGCTGAGGTTGGTATTCGAGAGAATATTTACTATGGAGCAATATTCCTCTGTATGACACTCATCGTTCTCTTCTGCTTCCTCATAGTTAACAGGTTAGAAGAGAACTCAAATTAGGAAGCGTAATTTCAAGTGAACCTTTATTCAAAGATGGCAATGCCCGATTCACATTGGCACTCTTGAAACCTTTGTATGTTCGATTATGTAGAAGTTATTGTCATTTTTCTAGGGTTAAAGTGTTTAATTTTGAAAATTCCTATATGTTTTCCTGCAGTAGAAATGGGCAAGTCACTTTTGTAAAAAAATTACAATTGGAAATAATCAGTTTTTAAAATACTTGATAAGACAAAGCTTTCAAGGGAACCGTTGTGAATCGGGCATTTTCATCTTTGCATGAAGGGTCACTTAAAATTACGCTTACACTCCTAAGGGTCAAGGTCAAGCTCAGGGTCAAGGTCAAGCTCAGGGTTATAGGTAGAATTAAGTTTAAAGCCATGGTCTAAGGATATTTAAGATATATTTTTAATTTTCCTATTGCAACTCTCCGCTCATGCAAGGTAGTGATTATAAAAACGCCCTTTAACCCCCCCCCCCC